TTTAATTTGATTCCTTATCATTATGTCGTTAAATAAAACAATAATTATTATACTTTTCATATTTGTAATACAAAAAAAATAATTAAAAATATTATAGAATATGATATATATTGATTTTATTTATCGAAGTTTCTGTTTAAAATTTTTTACTTTACATTCGAATGTTTAAAAAACGGGCAAAGATATGCAATTGTAAATGACAATAATCCGAGCGTTTGGAATAAATTTGTCTGAACTCGTGATATTGCCTTTGTCAATATTGAATTCAAATCGTTAAATCTTTATTATTTTGTCTGAAGTAAATGTTCAAAAAATTATAAAAATAACATATTAAATAGTTGAATCGAATTTTTTTTAAAAAGAAAAAAATTAATTTACTCATTACTGAAAAGATAGAAACATTTTAATGTAAGTAATACATGTAAATTTATTTAAATCGATTGGTAGACGACATTTCTGTTCTAATAATGAAATGTTAGTTTAAATCGGTAATTTTTAAATCGTTTATAATATAAAATTCTTTCTATATAAAGTAATTTTGAAGTTAAAAAAAAAAAGTATGTTATTATAACATTAAAGAAATGTCTAAACTGTGTTTACTTACTAATACATAGTTATTTAACATATATTTATACGCGTGCGTGTATAATTTTTATAGATATTATTAATAAATTTTAGTAAAATTATTTTATTCGTCTCGTTTAATTTAATTTATTTTACTTAAGCTGCCGTATTATTAAATTATAAAATTAAATTTTGCTTCATGCAACGAATATATATTTATATTTATATAATGTTAGTGGAAATAATATTCCTTTTAGATTATTTAATATCAGTCCTTTGGCAATTTGTATTTAAAAAAAGTTGGAAAATAATTGAATTTTTAAAACAAAACGGTGTCTTTTTTTTTTTTTTTTTGTGCCAACCAATGCACACTGAAAAAGTAGTAAGTAAGAAAATTTTGAGAAATAAATTTTCCGAAAGAACAATTTGTGTATTCGTTCTAACAAGTTTCTTTTTTAGTTTCGTATGTAGCATTGTAATAAAAATTAAGTGGAACATTATTAATTTCAGTTAGAACCACGTCATCGTGTTTTTTTTTCTTTTTTTTTTTGTTTCTTTTTTGTTTCTTTTTTGTTTTTTGTTTTGTTTTTATTACATTTGTCTCATTAGAGCCACAGACGATATACATCTAGGAAAGCCGGTTTTCCCAGACTTGAAAGCTCCGCATTTCGCAAGCCAACGACGCACGCGCATTTCCTCGGGTATTGTGCTATGACTCTCGATAAGCACATTAGAGATTGCTTTTTTATTCTGGACTCATTTTCTCTCTCTCTCTCTCTCTCTCTCTCTTCGATACACTTTAATGGACTTTAATCGCCTACTTTTTTCCTATTGGCTTCGAGGTATTTCCCATGAAATGCAAATGCTAATGCAAAGTGGACAACATCGGCTAAGAAATTTACCATTAGTCGTCTTCTCTTTGAAATTTGAATATATCGTCGATCTTTATATACAGTCGAACTGTGCCTCGTTGTATGTCGCTTGTAAGAATAAGAATTGAACTAAGTAAATCGAAACGATTGTTACGTCCGATAAGTCATTTTGTTCAATTAACGGTCAATGTCGCCTTTTGCAAATGTCCAATTGCATCTTAAGGCAGTGAAATTTTGTCGCAACCCCTTTCTTCGATTGCACCACTCGGAATAAAACGAAAATGGACCTTGGCCTATCGGTGATCCAAAAATAAAATAGCCCCTTTGTACACTTGGAGGCGAAGTGCCTCTATCCAAGAAGCCGGAGTAGAAAAAAATAAAATGAAGGCGGCTCTCGAGTTCCCGTGTTCCATTGCGTCAAAGCGAGGCTGACCTCGGGAGGCGATAATCGTGACCCGTCCGACGCCGAATGCCCCGAGTCTTCGCGATTGCTCGTCTCCCTCTTTCGAGGGCCAACGTTCCCCAATCGAGTGCGAAAGCGGCGACACGAGGTTTTCTCGTGGGATCATTGCTTTTTTCTCGCCTTTGGTTTGCCGAGTGCGCTTTTCTCCACAGAGCCGCGGGATTTTCGCAATGGGAAAAAGCTCGGGCGCAGTTCAAGGATATATCGATCGATAATTAAGCGTCGTTTCTTCGATTGTCGTGGGCAGTCATCCGAATTTTCTGCGTGTGATCGACGAGCGAAAGGTTTGTCCGAAGGCATTCGATGACGAGAATCTCATTGGTAATCGATGACACTTAGCCCATGCACACACGTTACATCGTGTTGCAATCGTGTGGCGGCATAATACACTCGCCGAAAGCGTAAAATTTACTATAATTTTAATAGAGAATAAAGCGGGTCTTACTTACGGATATTTTGTACACATATGTTCGTGCGTATGATTTTTCGAGTTTTGCATCAAGTAAGTTTGGTCCGCGAGAATTATTTTACTAAAACAAATCTTCATCAAATTCCCAGGTTCATTATTTATATTTTTCCACCTCATACTTTAATTTATAATAAAACATTTGTGTAACGTATGCCCCACCCTTATTTAATTTAATAATTCAATTTATAATATGACAATTGTCAACGACATTTAATTATTCTGTTATATCAATGACACACAATTAATGTGTATTATTAATGTGTACGTTATTTTGAAAAAAAAAAAAAAAAAAAAAAAAAATTTTGTTCAC